AATTAAAAGAAATAATATTTAAAATTAGAATTTTATAACTAAATGAAATAAATAATCTATCAAATCCAAATTTACATCAAATGATAATTTTAATCCTAAAAAATTTATACAAATAAAATATTAATAATAGAATAATTATCTTAGTACTTAAAATTTATAAATTTGTACATGATATATAATATAATAGGTTGATATTTATGCATCACAGGTATGAGGTATTGGATACCTTAAAGTCAAAACCCAAACCCGTCTCAAACCCTATAAAATTTTAATAAACGGGTCCTATTAGGGTCGGGACGGGTCCGATACCAAAAAATTCCCGTGAAATTTCCATCTCAAAATGCCGCCACTAACATTCAAGACATTGCATTCATCGTCTGGCAACTCTAGCTCTAAACATCAATTGAAGTTCTTACTAATTTGTTCCTCGTCGAAACTGTGTTTACTCTAGATGTCCCGTGCTTAGAGTTACTATGGATTCTCCGTCGACGTCCTCGAATTTTTCATCCATGATCGTCAGAAGCTCTGAGCTTCGTTAAGTTGAACCAAGAGAGACAAAATAGAAGGGGAGAGAGAGATGGGGTTTATTTGTAATTAAATGAGTTAACTTTAAATTATCCTTTTACTGTATTTGATTGGGTTTAGCATTGAAGCATAGGTGAAGGAAAGTTAGTGCTAAGTCAATGGTTTTTATTTGTTTGTTAGCACGAAGGAGATGTGAATGCAACCAACCACACTGGACAGATGACGCTTCATTGGAGTGCGGTAAGGGGTGCAATCCAGGTTGCTGAGCTCTTACTCCATGAGAGTGCTCGAGTCAATGGTACTGATTTGATTTGTATGGTTATCAGGTTTGTAAAATTGGCAAACAAACTAAAAGTCTTTTGGAAGTATATTTATAGGGACTTGGAAATGTAGAGATTGGAGCTACTACAACACTTGTCTTGTCGGTGATGTTGAAGTTTGCCGGTGAAATTGCTCACTACCACAAACTGCCACTGTCATCACCACCGCCACCACCTCCACTTAAGGTCCAGCATTCACGTGACCTTTTCGCTCGCAGAAGCTACAAAAAACAAAAGCAATGAAAAATTTTCACCTATTAGTTTCCAAGCCAAGAGGACAGAATAGAATTAGTTCTCTATTCACCCTCCTAATTCCTCATTTATTTCTTTTAAATGAACGAGTTTTTCTCTGCACTGACATCTCATTAGGAGAGAGAGGAGGTTTTGGAGATGTCAGTGTCACCGATTCAGGTAGACATTGTGGTGTCCAAAGATGGAAATGGAACGTATAAGAAGATACCTGATGCGATTAAGGCTGTTCTTGGTTACAATAGTGTTGTGGCAAGAGTATAACCATTGCAAAGAATAGTTTTTTGGACATTTTTTCTGATGATATTTCCTTTTTCGAGTAACATTTATACATATTAGAATCGGTGCGAAGAACTGGTTAATAAAGAAAATCAGGTGGCATCTGAAGGGTATTCGTGTCCTTTTACATGCCACTTAATATTAAGTACTAAGTTGGTATGTTTTGAAAGTATAGGTAATTGGCACGTTTTGAAGTTGAGAGACCAAAGTACATAGTAATAAATGTGCAGTTTTCCCTAAAAAATATATAAACTCACATGAAATAAATTGTGTTTATATGCGTTATAAATTCCCTAAAAAATATATTTATATTTATATTTATATTTATATTCACCGCTTTGAGGCTATTTGACACTTAATCATCTCTCCTATGCCCTTGTTTTTTTTAAAGCTTGCAGAAAGAGTTTGGATATGCTCTTCACAGCGTGTGCCTCATACCGACCTCACAACATGTCCTACTGCACATCAGGAATACAAGGTGGGATGTGACTGTAAAGTCGGTGTGAGGCACACTCTGTTTTCATATAGGAGCATATCCCAATGCTTGTGGGAAAGGGATTCCTGCCATGAACCCACCTGTTTCCATTCATAGTATGTGTTTGGTACTGTTGGTGTTTCCTCAAGGGGCATTTATCGGATAAACACTCACTTTGAACGTGTTTCATTTGGTTGTCTGGTTGGGCCTATTTTGGGCATTTCAAGAAACAACCCATAAAACTACTTTACAACTCAACAGGATAAACGTTTTCTCATGGATTGGATGTTTCCTGTTTGATTGCACATTTCAAGAAACAACCATATGTGTGTCTTGGTGTGATACTTTCATTTGGATGTGTAGGAGCTATTAGTTAATCCAATGGTCCAAATTATCTATGCTTGCACATAATGACCGATTTTCAGATTCAACGATGGATTTATGATGCAAACCACATCTAATGGTCAAAAGAGGGAAACTTTAACTAAAGGTTGCTTGCAAGAAGAGAAGAAATATGAAAAACATAATTAGAAGGCTTATCATAAACACATGTGGCTAGTATTGTTGAATTAGAATTCCTCTCAAATTCAAGATGAATAGCCAAAAAGATAGGTTCTTCACCAAATGACTAGACTTGGAAATCCACTCCCCCAAGAAAAATGAATTAAATCAAGTTCAGCATTTCCCATGGTTTGTCAAAACAAACCATGATAGAAAGATTACACAAAGGTTTCTTCCTCCATGAACTTCAATTCATACTTGGTCGAGTATTGCATAAGACCAAAAGAGAAGAAAAAGAATGTACTCCAACATTACACAACTTGGTGCCCTATTTGGTGCATCTTTCCGCGTGGTCTTTTGACTGCTTACAAGCTTGGAAGACAAAAAATCGGTCTATTCTCATTTGGCACGTGGGATATCTGGCCATCAAAAAGATGCGGAAAGCCCATTTTAGGCTAATCTCATGTGGAAAGACCTGAAACGACACATGAAAAGATGCACGTCTACCAAATGGTCTTCGGGCTGCCCAGATTTTATGTCAAAAGCTCAATACGTCTATTGACTATTAGATCTACGAAAAGATCCTCTCAAAAAGACTTGCCAAACGAGCCTAGAATCATGTTTAATGATTATAAGATGCCTTAGTCAATGCGGATTTAGGCAAATGTCCATTAAAGAAGCAACAAGAACCAGCCCTAAAACGTAAGTCACATGGCAATCTTTTCTTAGCAAGGTTACCCATTAAAAATTTCTTGATTACATGAATACTAGAAAGTAGGAAAGACGTATGTTCTTTGGTTTAGTGTTCTTCATTCATAGCATAGAATTGCTTTGCTTAAAGGCCATATGATGGAGATTTTATGCAAGAAAATCACGATTGCCCTTGCCCTTATAGGAGATCACCATTTTAGAAATATAAGACAATTCAAACCCAAAGCAGCCAACAGCAGAACTATAAAGCAACTGGAAACCTCTCTATCAGCCAAACGGTAATTTGACACCTAGCCATAGCAGAAGGGGAAGAAATTACAATTAATATTTAGATTGGGTTTGGTTCTGACTTTTAAGGTGAAAAAAAAAAAAACACCAAGGACATTATACGAAGATTTCTGATCTGGTGCATCGAGGATTTACCATTTAAAAAAAAAAGATTATATATGATAAACTTTTGAGTCCTAATATCAATGAAAGTAATATTTTTAATAAAATTTTATAAATAGGTTAAAAATAATATTAATTAAGGCAAATATACTTTCATCTTCTTCCGGAAACCATTCATCGGCGCCGTCCCTGCAACCTTCGACAATGTTCATCGCCTCCGTCCAGCTCTGCAATGCCGCCACCTCCGCCCACCTTCGCTTCTGCTCCTGACAATATTGTCGGAGGTGGGCGGAGGTAGAGGTGGCGGCGGCGACGCTGGTGGATTTGAATGCCATTTCCATCCACCTGCCTGCCTCCGACACTGGTTGACTGTATTGTGTTACACTCTTACCTTCCATGACTAAATAAATAAATAGACAAACATTTCAATGATCCAATCCATTGACGCTTTCAACCTCCTTGACGCTCAGCTCCGCAATCATCGCTGTTTTAAATTGCGGGACATCAATTAACAAAAGACCGCATTCACTGTTACAGAGTACAAATTTGAAATTTCCTTCCTTTTAACAACTTCATTCAAACGCTTATAATCAAACACTCCTTCACAAACTCAAGCTAGGGACTGGGGAGCGTGGGGCAGTTGGTTACGTCTTCCTAGTGCCAAAACCCAATGAAATTATCCCACAAGAGTGCAACAATGGCGAATACAACTGACAAAACAATATGGCTTCCGTAATTGGACAGAGAGTGCAGTTTCTTCATGTGGACGGCGACTTTCATGCCACTGTAGCAGAATCCTTTGCCACTGATGAAGTAGTATGTCTTGGTGATATTGAGTGGAACCACATCCCTCCTTGCGTCAGTGGTCCAATTGTGAATCGGATGGTTCTCGTTGCATGTCTCATAGTTTGTCTTGTTCACTTCTAGCACATTCATCTGGTTCCTGTCGTATACAAAAACTGCGAGCAGGGGAAATGCAGAACTGGGTTAATTAATAACGCAATAACTCCAATCAAAATCATTGATAAATAGAAAGAAAATTTGCAAAAACTGCGAGCAGGGGAAGTGAAGAGCTGGTCAATGACTATCAGTCTATCACCAGTGCCGCCGCCGCCGCCGCCTCTGTCTCCGCCCACCTCCGGCAACGTTGTCGGAGGCGAAGGTGGGCGGAGGCGTTGCCAGAGGTGGCGGCACTGATGAATAGATGAAGATGAACAGTATTTTTAACCTTATTTAATATTTTTTTAAAAAATAATCTTTTTCTGAAATTTATTAAAATTATTACTTTTATTTATATTGCCTTAAAACCTATAATCCCAAAAAAAAGCATGGCCAAACCCTAACCACGAATTTGGGTATCGAACTGAGGATAGCCGCAGACGGTCGGATTTGCAGAGAGTTGCTTCTTCTCACGCCTTGACGCTGCTCGTAGGTTGTGGACGCCGGTAAATTTGCTGTCGACACCCCGTTAATCCCCGCCTTGATGCCGGCAAGGTGCTTCATACTGACAAATTGGCCATTTTCTTCTTTTTTTGGCAGCACTGTAACACCCGCAAGGTGCTGAATACGTCGACAAGGTGCTGAATACACCGTTAACCCCTTGCAAATTCGTTGCTATTTCTTTTGCCCATTTGAACGGTATGTCCCCCGCCCCCCTCCTCTGAACATTGATAAGCTTCCTTTTTATTGTGAATGTTTCAACGATACAACGGTGGAGTGAAGCTTCCCCCTTATCATTCTATGTTTCAAGTTTCAACCATAATTTTTAAAATCGGATCGGAAAACCGGTAACCGTTCAACCCTCGGATCCGATTATACTATAAACCGCTATTTTTTAATTAATCGTTGAAAAGATTAAAAACCGCTGATTCGGGCGATCGAACCGCTAAACCGTTCGATTCGGGCAGCGGTTCGCGGGTTGCGAAATTTAATTTCGTTCGCTTTATAAAAAAGAACAAAAAAAAATGGCATTCATGTCCCCGATTCCAGCCTTACGAGTTAGGGTTAGAACGAACTTCCAGCCTTCTGCCTTCCTTCCTCGTACCCCGACGGCGCGACCAACGACCTGCTGTAGCCACGACCGACGGCAGATCACGACGACCGGCGGCTACGGCGGATTTTCTTCCTCAGAAGGGCTTTATCTACTGCGACCGGCGACTACGGCCTTCCTTTCTCACAGAAAGGCTTTACCTACGGCGACCGGCGATTACAGCCTTCCTTCCTCACAGAAGGGCCTCATCTACGGCGACCGGCGACTACAGTCTTCCTTCCTCACAGAAGGACTTCATCTACAGCTGATTTCCTCTTGTAATCAGCAGCAACAAGGAGAAGCGGCGGCCACCGGTGAGTTTTGAATTTTTCGCTTAATTAATCTTGCTTAATTATTTATTTGCAATTTTATGTTTTATTTTTCTGTATTTATTTGCACTTTTCTGTTTATTTTTCTGTATTTATTTGCAATTTTGTGTTTTATTTTTCTGTATTTATTTGCACTTTTCTCTTTTATTTTTCAGTATTTTTTCTGTATTTATTTGCAATTTTCTTGTTTTTTTTTCTATTTTTTTTATAATTTTCTGTGTTTTTATGTACTTTTTTGGATTTTTTTGTATTTTCTGCACATGTATGAGTATGACTAAACACATCCTAATTTATCTTTATTTTTTCTGTACTTTTCCTGTATTTTTTTTGTGTTTTCTGTATTTTTTTTAGAATGTTTCTGTACTTTTTTTTTGTATTTTCTGTTTGTTATATGCTTTGTTATTTTTGTATTAATATAGTTTTATTTTTCTGTATTTTTTGATTTTTTTTAGAAATTTTCTGTAATTTTTGGAAATTTTCTGTATTTTATTTTTATATTTTCTGTGTTTTGTACTGTATTAGTTTTGTATTTAGATAATTTTATTTTCTGTATTTTATTTAATTTTATGCTATTTTTATTATTTATAAATATATTTTTTATTTTTAATTTATTTATGACATCATGGGTCAAACCGTTCGACCCGGATGGTTGAACCACTTAACCGGAAACTGGTCCCCTGACAGATTCTGTTTCTGGTTCGTTTTTAAAAACCTTGGTTTCAATGACACCTCCTCTGATGTTGACTGTCCTTGATTTATACATATGATGCTGAATGTTTTTGATTTACAATTTTTCTTCTCATGTTTTTGATTTACATGGTTGTTGTTGAATGTTTTTGATTTACAATTTTCTCATATTTTTGATTTACATCAACACAGTTGTTGTTGAACAGAAGCAAAGGGGTGGATGAAATTCTTTCACTCTAATTTGTAAATCAAGCGTAATGTGATTGGTGAACAAATAACGAGGGGAATATATGAAGAGAAAGCATACCAGGGAGATCAATGACAATAGTACATTTATCTTCCTCTGTCTTCCATCTGTGGCAGTGTTTATTAAAAAAATGTTAATGGAACCAAACCCGCTCCTAATTTCGTTCGTGTTCTAGGATAAAGAATAACAACAAAACGAGAAATGAGAGAGAGAACCGCCTGTCGTGGTGGAAGTCGATGGTGATTGATGGGGACTACTGACGGTGATTGACGTGAGAGAGGGCAGAGGGCGGAAGGCAGGGGAGAAAGGAGAGGGTTAGAGGGGAAGAAAAAATAAAACAAAATATAACAATTTATATAGGTGAATGGCCCTATTCGTGTAAATCTAGCATGTACTCATTTCATTGGCCCCACAGCCCGCTTAACAGCATTGGGGCATTCTTCAAATCCGAGCTCGTTCAACAGCCTAGAATTTAGCCCATCAAATGCATCAGACCCGGACTTGATTTCCCTGATTCTCAACGAACAGAAACTTCGGTATGAAAACTAGGTAAGTTCAATTCCACTACTATGCTGATAAACTATGGTTCTTCTTTTAGTTCTTTAGTACATGTTTTACTATAAAATCATCTTAGTTATTTTTTTTTTAAAGTTTGTTGTTGTCTGCCTTTGTGCTTTTCTCTTTTGCAATCAGAACTGAGTAAAATTTCATTCTTCCCATTCCTTTTCTTATTTACATCATGTCTCTCATAAAGCCTAATCCTCTGGCCATGTTACCTCTTTGCTTTGTTTGTTTTGTTCTTTAAGGAAGCTGGATTTAGGGAGGCTATCCAAGCGACAGAAGATCCCTCATAAAACTAGTTCTTTCTTATAATGTCTCATGCATCATACAGGGGACCTGGGATGACATCTGTTTTCATCCCTGAGTTTGTAATCGACAGTTAGTAACTGACCATTGCCTCAACCTCCCTGGGCTTCCTAACTGTCGATTGCAAGCTCAGGGATGAAGACGGATGCCATCCCAGGTCCCTTGTATGATATATGAGACATTATTAGAAAAAACTAATTTTATGAGGGATCTTCTGTCGCAAGATAGCTTCCTTAAAGAACAAAACAAAACAAAGGAAAGAGGTAACATGGCCAGAGGATTAGGTTTTATGAGAGACATGATCTGAATATGAAAAGGAATGGGAAGAATGAACTCAGTTCTGATTGTAAAAGAGAAAAGCACAAAGGCAGACAACAACAAACTAATAAAGAAAACTGAGATGATTTTATAGTAAAATGTGTACTAAAGAACTAAAAGAAGAACCATAGTTTATCAGCTTAGTGGTGGAATCGAACTCACCTAGTATTCATACTGACAGATTTTTGTTTGTTGAGAAGCAGGGAAATTGAGTCTAGGTCTGCTGCATTTGATGGGCTGGACTTTGGGCTGTTTAACGAGCTCGGATTTGATGAATGCCCCGATGCTGTTAAGCGGGCTGTGGGGCCAATGAAATGAGTACATGCTAGATTTACATGAATAGGGCCATTCGCCTGTGTGAATTGTTATATTTTGTTTTATTTTTTCTTCCCCTCTAACCCTCTCCTTTCTTCCCTGCCTCCGCCCTCTGCCCTCTCTCGCGTCGATCACCGTCAGTAGCCCCCGTCAATCACCATCATCTTCCACCACGACAGACGGTTCTCTCTCTCTTTCATTTCTCGTTTCTCGTTTTGTTGTTATTCTTTCGCCTAGAACACGGATGGAATTAGGAGCGTGTTTGGTTCCATTGACGTTTTTTCAATAAACGCTACCACCTCAGCACTACCTCGGTGTTTGGGTTGATAAACGTTTATTGGGTTTGAAATCAATGTTTGGTTCAATTGTTTATTGAGAAAACGATGGTAAACGTTTCTTCATCGATTTTTGTGAAAGGAGCCATTGTGGGAAGCATTAAATTCTTGTTTCCCCCAACGGCTAGATGTTTCATGAAATCCATGGCTGATGTGGCGCTGATGTGTAGTTTGATGTGGTGCTGATGGTTTCTGATCCGATGCATCGCGGATCTACCATTCCACAAGAAAAAAAAGCATGTCCAAACCCTAACCACGAATTAGGGTATCAAATTGAGGATAGCTGTAGACGGTCGGACTTGCAGAGAGTTGCTTATTCTCACGCCTTGACGCTGACTGGAGGTTGTGGATGCTGGTAAGTTCACTGTCGACACCCCATTAATCCCTTGCCTTGATGCCGGCAAGGTGCTTCATACTGACGAATCGGCCATTTTCTTCTTCTTTTGGCAGCCCTGTAACTCCCTGCAAGGTGCTTCATACACCATTAACCTCCTGTAAATTTGTTGCTATTTCTTTTGCCCATTTGAACGGTATGTCTGCTGTCCCCCTCTGAATATTGATAAGCTTCCTTTTTACTGTGAATGTTTCAATGACACATCAGTGGACTGAAGCTTCCCCCTTGTCATTTTTATGTTTCACAGTTTCAACAACAGCTCTGATGTTGACTGTCCTTGATTTTATACATATGCTGAATGTTTTTGATTTACAATTTTTCTTCTCATGTTTTTGATTTACATGGTTGTTGTTGAATGTTTTTGATTTACAATTTTCTCATGTTTTTGATTTACATCAACATGGTTGTTGTTGAACAGAAGCGAAGGGGTAGATGAAAATTCCTTTCCAGTTAGACCCACTGGATGGCTGGATAATAAACAATTTTCTCATGTTTCAAATTTCCTCAGTAACAGTCTCATATAAACAATCAATATAGAATGATGCAAATGCCTTTCCAGTTAGACCCCACTGGATGATTGGATAGTAAACTAAGAAAGTCTATGTAACATTGATCTCTAGACAAAGATTGGAGGGCTTATGTTAATTACGCCAACTATGGATCAAACATTCTAGTCTCTTGCTAGAATGTTTGAACCTCAACATTAAACTTCAATACAAATGTATTAAATATTTGCATTTTTGGTACTGGTGAATATTTGCATTGTATTCTTACTAGAATGTTATAACATCTACATGAAGCTTAAATTTTCTTTGGGCTTTCAGGTCAAACATGCTTTACCTGTGTTGCATCCTGACATTCATAGAAGCATCAGTATATTTTTATACTTCTTGATAGATAAGATTTTATAGATGTTATGCTCATTGCTTATAAACCATTGAACAGTTAAAATATTGTAGTCCATAACAATGGACTCAATCATCTCTGCTGCCTTGGAGGAGATTTGTGCCCAGGGAACTAATGGAATTTTGCTTTTGGATTTATGGCCAAAGCTACAAAATTCACTTTCTTCAGCAGGACTACATCTTTGCAACAATGTTAAAAGTGCCATCTGGACCAGAATCATCAGCATTCCAGGGCTTCATTTTGAAGCTGACAATTCACCCTCCACCTCTTATAGCTCTCAAGACCTTTCTAATCAATCATTTGAAGAATCTGAAAAGCTGAGGTTGAAGATTGTAGCTGCAGAGCATCTCAGGGATAGCTTTGCGGGGCTTTATGATCTCAAGGCTGCTGATTCTGGATTTTCCCCACTCCAAAGGCGTACACTTGAACGACTCGCCATTGCCAGGTTTATTCTGGTTGAGTTTTGTGTTATTTCCTTTTTTTTTGTAAAATTTTTGTGTTTCCTTTACATGTTTATTAGTTTTATTAGATGATTGCAGTGTGATTTTTTTTGTATTAAGTTGTTTCTTAATCATAACGGGGGACAAGAACATTATACTTAATAATAATATTCACAATTGTAATCTTATCAAGAATGGAATGAGTGAGGTAGGTGATTTGGATGATGGGTTATCAGAGGATTGCCTTGGGATGCCAGGTGGGGAATTTCCCTTTAATGTTTCACCTAATTGTGTATTCCAATCGGAGCAAATGCGTCGGCTGTGTCTATATGGCAAGTAGTGTTGGATAAAGTGGATAAGAGACTGGAGTCTTGGAAATATAGATATTTACCTTTGGGAGGTAGAATCATGCTTATTCAAAGTATGTTCTCAAGCTGTTTCTTTATATTCCTCATCTATTTTCAAGGTTCTGGAAAAGGAAGTTAAAGAGTACAAAAAGAACCGCATATTCCATGAAAATTTTCATTTAGTTAAATGTAGACAGGGTGGTTTGGGAATAAGGCGAATTTGAGAAATGAATAAAGCTTTGCAGTAAGTGGTCATGGAGATTTGGTATGGAGAGATGCTTTGTGGAGAAAGGTAGTTGCTTTTAAATATGGGGTGTCAAGATTTGGTAGGGAGTCCGAGGAAGTTACATCATCATCTGGGGTTAGAATATGGAGAAGAATAATGAAGTTCCAAGAGGAATTTGCTTCTCATTTAATGTTTTAAGTTGGAAAAGGAAGTAAGGATATGGTGAGGTTTTGGAAGAAGTCTGGTGTGGGGAGGAGAAATTTAGTGATATTTGTCCTAGACTCTACAAGTTGAGTTCCAAAAGTATTATGGTTAACCAATGCGTCGAAAGGAGAGATGATCAAATTGTACGAGTCCTATTGTATGATCTGCAAAAGAGATTCATTAGATTAAGATATTAAATAAGTTTAGTACAACATTGGAGCACTCCAACCAACCCAGGTATATAGCTTCACACTTTTTCCCAAAACAAAGTATGTCTGTTAACTCCATGTTTTGCTAAATGTCTGCCATCTCATTTGCAGCTCTTCTAATCCAACTAAGTTTGGTGTTGAGTTCTCTTGATAGGTAATCTATCTCCTTAAACGTATGCTTGTAACTCCAAGGTGCTGAAATTGATTGCCTTGTCCATGATATGACCAGTTTTGAGTCCCCTTCCACTTCTACATCTTTGAAGCCAAGTTGTTTTGCTAGCCTTAGTCCTAGAGATGGCAATTTGACCCATCTCTGCTAGGGCTCCGACCTGCCCTACTTCAGTTAGGGTGGGTTTCTTATCAGGTTTGGGGCAGGTTTCAGGGATGGTATTTGCCCACCCTGCCCTAACCCTGACCCCAAACCCACCCTAACTAAAAGTGCGTGTGAGTCTTTATATATACACACAACGTTTAATATATATTATGATAGTACATTACATAATATAATATAATATAGTTCTGGGTAGGTTTCAAAAAATAAAAAAAAAAGATTTTTGTGTAGGAAAGATTGGTACAAATTTGGGGATCCTTGTTCCCCACAAGGACCGGGATGGGGTTAAGATTTCTAGCCTTGTTGGAGTACGGGGTGGGGTATTTGAGTTTGGGGTTGGGGACAATGCTTGCAAAACCCAACCTGCCCTGCCCCGCCCCCGATGCCTTTCCCATTTAGTCCTTATACCAATGCCAAAATCTCAGTTCTATTTGAGTCACCAAAACCAATTGGTCCCAAATAAATAGCCACCACAACACCTAAATGGTTTCTAAATACTCCCCCTATGTCTGCCCTTCCCAGGTTTCTCATAGAACTATCGTCAAAATTTAGTTTCAATTTGTTTTCAATTGGGGCCTTCCAATCCATACTTACAATGTCTCTCCTTCTATTTGTTTGTGCCACTTTTGATTAAGATCTTACTATCTCATTAACTGAGAAACAACGAAAATTTGCTCTTACTTTTATACCCACTGTGTAGCTCTTACTTTTGTACCTTCTATAAGCTCCCCCTTAGACCTGCTATTATCGTTGAGAATTCTTTGGTTTCTTTCTTCCCACAAAGTCCACACAATTGCTACCTTTACTACTCTCCACATAACTCTTCTCTTTTTTGGTTGGCTCGAGAAATTGGGATTGAATAAGCTTACCATATCTTGGGGGAACCCACTTGCAACCAAAGAGAGAACAGAAATACTCCCAAACACAATGCACAAAAGGATAAGAGATCAGTAAATGGGGATGGTTTCACCACAAGCTTTGTATAGCACACACATATAAGGAGAGAGGCATATATTAGGCCTTCTTTTTTGCAGTATGTCACAGGTATTAATCTTTCCAAGGAACACTTCCCAGCATAAAGCTTGAACTTTTGGAGGGATGAGCTTACACCAAATTTTGTGGAAACAAAATGGATGAGTAGGTCAAAAAACCTGGCATAAAAAAAGAAGCCACAGGGTTGGGAGACCAAATTCTACTATCTTCCAAGTTAGGATCCAAAAGGACCAAATCCAGCTTGGCCAACAAATGGATGAAGGATTTGAAAGTATGAGAGTTTTATTAATTAAGTAAAAGAATGAATATGTATAGAATACTGAGCATCCCCAAGATATAAAGTGCCTAACACTGTTGAGGTTTTTTCTCACCCTGCAATTATTCTCTTACAACAAGTTGCCTCAAAACCTTTGTTCTGTGTTCACCCCTTGCCTAGCCATTGCATCAAAAGCTTGCATTCATTTAGTAGTTGTACAAGACTACAGAGACTCTTTAGGTTTTGAACAGAAAATAAAAGAGAAGGAGAAAAGGAGAAGAAGAGAGATAGAGAAGAAGCACTCGTGGGAGAAGCTTTGAAATAAGAGAATGGTTGGAGTGCTTAAAACAACTGCCCCAGTCCTTAATTTATTTACATGGTTTCCTAATTGTAAAAGAACTTTAATGCTTACATGGCAATAAAAGATAAGATTAAAATAGAACTAATCCTAGATAAGATAGAATAACTAATCCTAGATAAGATAGAATAAAACTTATCCATATCCTACTAGGAAAGCTGATCCTAATCAATTAAATCTAAGTACATCTTAGGGTGTCACACAAATACTCTCAATGTGGGGTCCACAGTTTCCTACACTCCCCCTCAAGTTGGGTAGTAGATATTTGTCATTCCCAACTTGCATAGATCTTCTAACTTCTTTCTTGAAACAACCTTGGTGAAAAGGTCTGCAAGTTGCATGTCGGGAAGGCATATTTCTTGAGATGTAACCCTTTTTCTGATAAAATGCTGGTCCACTTTCATATGCTTAGCTCTGCCGTGCTGTACTAGATTATGGGCTATATTGATGGCAGCCTGATTATCACAGTACAACATTAGGGGTTTCTCATAAACAATACCTAATTCCTCTAGTAATTACCTCAACCATAGAATCTCAGCCACACCATTTGCCATGGACCTATATTCAGCTTCAACACTTGAACGAGAAACAACACTTTGTTTCTTACTCTTTCAGGAGACCAGATTACCTCGAACAAAGGCACAAGAGGTAGATCTTCAGTCATCAACACACCCAGCCCAGCCCAATCAGCATTTTTCTTGAACAAAATGCCTCTGCCTGGGGACCTTTTCAAATATGCTAATATCCTTTCAACCGCAAGGAGGTGAGTAGTTCTAGGAGAGTGCATATACTGACTAACTACACTGACTACATAACTGATGTCAGGTCTTGTGAGGCAAAGATAGAGAAGCTTTCCAACTAACCGTTGAAACATAGCTTTATCTTCAATAGGCTCTCCACCCTCTGCACTAATCCTGTGGTTTTGTTCAATAGGTGTGTCCGCAGGCTCAACTCCCAACTTTCCTATTTCTTCTAATAGATCAAGAATATACTTTCGTTGAGAGACAAAAATCCCATGCTTGGATCTAACTACCTCAATGCCCAAGAAGTATCGTAGTTTCCCCATATCTTTTACCTCAAACTCTTGATGAAGGAGTTGCTTAAGAGACTCAATTTCACTAGTACCACTCCTGGTTACTACAATATTGTCCACATACATGGCAAGCAAGGTTACGGAGGAACCCACTCTCTTAATAAACAAGGTGTGGTCTGGCTGAGCCTGCACATATCCGAACCTATCGTCTGAATATGTCAAACCATGCTCTGGGGGACTGTTTTAGTCCATATAGAGCTTTGTTCAACCGACAAACCTTTCTTGTCTCCGTACCATAAAATCCTAGAGGCAACTGCATGTAAACTTCTTCCTGCAAGTCTCCATTGAGAAAGGCATTTTTAACATCCATCTGATACAACGACCAAGAGTAACTAGCTGAAAGAGATAATAGTACTATGATGGTGGTCATCTTTGCTACTGATGCAAAAGTTTCTAAGTAGTCAATACCATATGTCTGAGTAAATCCTTTTGCAACTAATCGGGCCTTATACCTTTCAACAGAACCATCAACATTGTGTTTCACAGTGAATAACCATCTACATCCAACCGGTTTCTTTCCTTTAGGTTGATCAATTATCTCCTAGGTATTGTTTCTGATGAGGGCATCCATTTCTACTTTTATTACATCTTTCCATTCTGGTACTTCCAATGCTTCCTGTAGTGTTCTGGGAATGGGAATATCAGCAATGGATGCGAGAAAAGACTTGTAGGAGGGAGACAAATGATCATAGGATAGGAACTGAGAAATGTAGTGAGCTGCGGTGCAACGACGTTTGCCTTTACGGATTGCTATGGGGAGATCAAGGTCACTGAATGAAGGTGAAGGCTCCATGGTTGAATGTCTCTCATCTGTAGTATCTATGGTACTTGGATATGGATTTGCACAAGGAATTGGGGTTACTGTGGTATTGGGATCTGGATCTGTAGTGGGGACTGGGACTGGCCTGCACTGTTGATGTCCAAAATCAACCTGTCTCCATCGTCTGTGATAGATTCTCACATCCTTGCACCTTTGACATCCTTCCCC